CTCCCACAGAACCCACCTACCACTGACCCCCACCCACTGACCTCCCCCACTGAAACCCCCTACCAGTGAATCCCTAACCACTGACCCCCACTGAACCTACACCACTGACCCCATCCCACAGACCACCCTAAACACCCTATCCCACTGACCCCACCCACTGACCCTATCCTAATGAACGCCCCACTGATCCTATCCCACTGACCCCACCCATTGACCCCCACAGGCCCTATCCTACTGAACCCCACCCACTGGCCCCCACAGACCCTATCCCACTGACCCCCACTGGCCCCCCACCCACTGACCTCCCCCAATGAACCCCTTCCTACTGAACCACCCCACCACTGACTCACCCCCACTGATCCCCTCCCCTTAGACCCTCCCTCACTGACCCCCATTTTTCTTCCAGCAAACAAAGACTAGGTAAGCATTGTGGGGAAGAACAGAGAAAGGTAGAAATCCAATTTTCCCCACCTGAAACATCCAGTGATTCTGACGGTGGTCTGAAGCAGGCCTGTAGGTCCTGATAGGTCAGGATGGAAATCTGCTCCAAGGCCCTTCTCACTCCTTGTAGCTTGTTCTCTATTGAGAGGTCTGAGGAAGGCAGCACTATGTCCTGCAGTGTCTTATTGAAGGGGTAAATCTCCTGAGGAAACTAAGAAGGGACACATCACACACTTAGCAAACCAAAAAACTCCTTTCACATCCCTCCACAATCACGGCATGTCCCAAAGTACGAGCACAATTTCAAAATTTGCCGACGACACCAAGCGAGGAATGGTGAGGAGGTGAGTGATGGACTGGAAGCGGTCACAGATGGTCTGGAGAAATGACACACAGATAGATGAAATGTGACACTGAGAGATGTGAAGAGACACACTCCAGTAGGATGAAGGAGGTCAGGCAATATAAAACAAAGGTACAACTCAATAGGCCATGCAGAAACAGGAGATGTGATGGAAAGTCAGGGCAAGTTGAGGTCAGGTGTCAGGTCAAGGAAGTACTTCAGGAATCCTGGCCTTTACAGATAGAGGCACAGGGGTCACAGGAATATCTGAGCAAGAGTAGGCCATTCAGCCCCTTGAGCCTACTCCACCATTCAACAAGATCATGACTTCTTCTAGCTCAACACCATTTTCTCACACTTTTCCCCATTTCCATTGATGTTTTAAATATTTAGAAAACTATCAATCTCTAATGTAGACATACCACACGTTTAAGTCTCCACAGCCCTCTGGGACAGAGAGTTCCAAAGATTCACACCCTCTGAGTGAAGAAGTTCATCCTTATCTCAGTCCTAAATGCTTTATACTTACTCTGGGACGGTGTCCCCGGTTTTAGACTCCATAGAGTGGGATAGACCCTGTCACGACACTGTAAGAATCTTGTATGTCTCGACGAGATCATCTCTCATTCTTCTTGAGAGAATACAGGTGCCGTCTTCCTGTTTTCTCCTCAAAGGACAAACCCACCATCCCAGCAATCAATCCTGTGAACCTTTGTTAAACTCACTCAAAGGCGAGTAGGTCCTGCTCTGGGTAAGGAAACTGAAACAGTGCACAGTACTGCAGGTGTGGGCTCACCGAGGTTCGATACAACTGCAGTCAGACATGGTTACTCCTGTACTTGAATCCTCTTGTGATGGAGGCCAACGCATGGTGGCCCAGTGGTCATCACTGCTGCCTCTCAGTGCCAGGGACAGTTCAATTCCACCCTCAGACAACTGCCTGTGTGGAGTTTGCACATTCTTCCCACATCTGTGTTCCAGTTTCCTCCCATAGTCCAAAGGTGTGCAGGTTAGGGTGGATTGGCCATGCTAAATTACCCATAGTGTCCCAGGATGTGCAGGCTTAGGTGGGTTAGCCATGGGAAATGCAGGGTTATGGGGTGGGTCTGGATGGGATGCTCCTCCTCAGACGGGAAGTGTGGAAACTAACCTGCTTCCTCATTGTAGCGATTTTATGATGCACCATTTTCCTTCCTAATTGCTTGCTGCACCTTCATGTTAACATTCAGTGACTCGTGAACAAGGACACGCAGATATCTTTGGACATCAACACTTCCCAATCTCTCACTGATCCAGAAATACTTGTGCACTGAAGGAGAGACGAGCATGTGGGGATTGTGTAAAACTCAAGTGACTGAAAGCTGGCCAGTTCAGACACAAAAACTATCTAACAATCTCATTAAGAGGGAGCAGATGAGGGAAGAGTGTAAGGTAGTGGAGATAAATGTAATTAAATAAACCTTTGTACGGCAGAACACCTGCAATCATTCATTCGTGACACCAAGGCTTCTTCGATACTCGTTCCCAGGCTTTTAAGTAATAAATGATAGCATTAATGACCTGTCGTTATCCTCCTACACACTGAAATACTTTCCACTCATTAAGCCTGAACACCTTTGAATTCCTACAACAAGGATCAGCTTCGAGCAGGTTTTAAATGCAAGTAAAAGTGAAGGAAACAATGCAAGGGCAGGAAAAGGATGGAAGAATATGGTTGCAGGTGGATTTAGAATATGAAGGGTGAAAGTAAGGTTGGAATCCAGGTGGGATAAGTCAGAGTCGCACTGAAAGTGAAGGGGGTCCTGAAAGCAGCAAGCCGCAGGGGCACTCACCATCCTGACTTGGTAATATATCACTGATCCTTCGGTGTCATTGGGGTCAAAACCCTCCCTAACATCATTGTGGGTGCCACTACACCCCAATGTTCAAGGGGGTCACACTCCAACAACTACTGGAGAGAAATTTAGAGAGGAACACAATTGCTGGCCCAGCCGGTGAAGCCCACATCCCCTGGGAGAAAAAGATCTTCCATCACAGTTAGTTCCCTTAAGTTTATTTTCTGAATCTTGTGCTCTGGCTCGACATGCATTTAAAAGCCTGAGCATCTCCATGACTGTGCAGCTGTGATGTAAGGTCATTGACCTGACACTTTAACTCTGTTTCTCTCCCCACTGACGCTGCATTTCCTGCATTTTCTAATTGTCAGCAGAAGCGCAGGGAAGTTAAGAAGATAAACTCTTGCCGTAAACTTAGAAAAGTTGCTTTCTGGGATGTAATGCTCCTTCCACATTGACTCATTCACTTCACAGCTTTGAGAATCTAGCTTCATTCAATATCCTGAATCAAATTTCCTGGTCCAGACCTTTCACAATCCCAGCAATTGCAGTTTTCAGACATCACTGGTGATGATTCAGACAGACAGCTCAGGGCCTGTTGTTGACAGTTCCTGGGCCTGGGTGTTGTTCAATTGAACCTGCAATTAGCTCCATGCGTTTCTGGCTATCATTCACGCAAGCCAAGTTCAAATACACCTGAGGAAAGCTGAAACTCAAAACAACTTTTCTAGAAAGCTCAGAGACAGCAAGAACTGCAGACGCTGGATCCCCACCTAAAACTTCAGCTTTCCTGCTCCTCTGATGCTGCCTGGCCTGCTGTGTTCATCCAGCTCTACACTGTGTTGTTTCTTCTGGAAAGCTGACTTTCAAAGCCAAGCTAAACACAAGCCTTAAGAGGCAGGGGAGGTGCTTAAATGAGTGAACAGATCAGTCAGTCCTGACATGTGTGGAAATATATAATAAAGGATAATATCTGGTCCTACTACTGACAGTGGGGCCTTGCTATACACAGACTGATTGCCACATTTCTTACATTAAAAGTATGATTCCACGCGTAATAAAAACAGAAATTGCTGGAAAAGCTCAGCAGCTCTGGCAGCTTCTGTGAAGAAAAAATCAGCGTTAACATTTCGGGTCTGGTGACCCTCCCTCAGGACCAGACCTGAAACGTTAACTCTGATTTTTTCCTTCATAGATGCTGCCAGACCTGCTGGGCTTTTCTACCAACTTCTGTTTTTATTCCTGATTTACAGCATCCGCAGTTCTTCCAGTATTTATGATTCAATGCGTGTTGCACATTTCAGAGATCTGTAATAAGACATTATATAAATTTAAATAAACTGAACACATTGATACCGATAACTAAGTGAGCAACAAGCACACAATTGGTTGAATTATGCACAGGGAATTTTAAATTTTTGACACTCCTGTCCTGTGATTGATAAACATAGCTGGGATTTTTCTTGATCCCAAGTACAAAAGCTATTTTATGGCCTCTCTTTGCCCTCCTGATTTCCTTTGTAAGCAGCTCCTACACTCTGTGTATTTCTCAAGGACCTCCCCTGTTTTTACTGTGTTGTACCTGACGTATACTTCCTTCTTTTTCTCCACAAAACTCTCAATCTCCCCCGCCATCCAGGGTTCCATGGACTCGCCGCCCTTGCACATCACTCTTAGAGGAACACGCTGGCCCTGAATTCTCACTAAACTACTTTTAAACAACTCCCACTTTCTAAATGTAACCTTACCTGTAAGTAGCTGCTATGTCTGTCAGATCCTATCTAATGGTATTGAAATTGGTCTTACCCCAAATTAGACACTTAGCTTCCACACTATCCTTATCTCTTTCCATAATGACTTTGAAACTTACAGAGTTATGGTCACTACTCACAAAATGCTCACCCACCGAAATTCCAACCACTTGACTGGCTTCATTCCCTAGGATAAGGTCTAGCACTGCCCCATCTCTAGTAGGGCTATCTATGTACTGGCACAAAAAAAATCTCCTGGTAGGTAAGTGGTCTTGAGTGGTTAGTAGCTCCATTGTGATGTAAGTTGTCAAAATGTGCCTAGTATACCATCTGTACGTCAAAATTGCACTCATGGTCCCCAGTACAACATTTTGCAAGGTAAGGGGCCTAGAAAGTTCTCAAGCCCACATTCCCATCCATCCCACAAGCCCTTGTGATTCCTAATGCCCCCTCTATGCTCTTTCATCTCACATGCCTCTTAGATACCCCTGATATGTGCCATGTCCCTTTTGAAATAAGCTGTCCATGCTCTAAAGGCCTCTCCCAGATGGGAAGAACTAGTGTTGTTACCCAGCTCAATTTACAGGATGATTCTGTTCCAACCAGCCCTCTCCCATGTGAGTTAGAGCTGGGCTCTTTATTATATACACAGTGTCATACAACATAGAAACAGGCCCTTCAGTCCAACCAGTCCATGCTGACCATAATCCCAAACTAAACTAGTCCCACCTGCCCGTGCTTGGCCCATATCCTTCCAAACATTTCTTATTCATCTACTTATCTAAATGTCTTTTACACATTGTAACTGCATCCACACCCACCCTTCCTCTGGAAGTTCATGCCACACACGCACCACTCTCTGCATGCATCATCCATCTCCATTCCTCTTCATTCTCCCAAGAACAGGCTCAGCTAACAGCCCAATTTCCCCATACACGCTTCCCTAACTGGGACCCAGAGAACTTAGTCTTTAATAATAGCTTTTTAACAGCATATCTTCCTTCAGAGAGTTAGTTGAGTAACACAATAATTGTTGCGAGCTCATTACTAACTTGCATCATGTCAATGACAAACCTGTTGAGGAAAGAGTATTAAATGCAGTGTGCCTGGAATACAGAAGTGACAGTGTCTCCTTCCTATCAAACTGAGCTTCAAAACCAAGTGTAACAGAAACTGATCACCATGGCATCATTTCAGTTCCAAACTCCAACACGTGATTAACAGATATTTCAGTGATTGTGTGAGAGAGGAAGGGTTAGAAATGTGTAAAATGATAGTTTAATAATCACTTCTCGGCATTTGCTTGGCTTTTCTTGCAATTAAAATGTACAGGATGAAATTTACAATCCAGTGGACTGTACATATGGGGTCAGAGATCATGTCCATTCGTATAACAATGGGAACTGTGACAGAAAATCACCCACTGCTAATGGCTGAACCCAAATTGCTGATCCCTGTCTGATGAGGCTATGCTCCATCAGTATTCAGCTGTAAGTTCTCTATCCCACACTGTGCCCTTCATCCTGCTGGTTGTTGCACTCACTTTGGCTCCACTTTCTCAGTTCTGTTTCTCTTCCTTTTCCTAATCCCAGTTTGTCTCTTTCTCCTTTCCAAGCTCCTGTCTTCTCCCTTGCTTTCTCTGTCGCTTTTACCATTCCTGGTGCCTCCTTTGTTACCTCTTTCTCTGTTTCCATCCCTGTCTCCTTGTTACCCTCCCTCTAGCCTCCTCCTATCTATTTCTATCACTCTTGTTCTCTCCTTCCGAGTATCCCCTTTTCAATCTGTATCTCCTTTCCTTCTCTCCTTATCTCTTTATTCTATTTTCCTCTTTCTATCATCAATTTTCTCTTTTTACATTTCTATCCTGCCTGTATGTCTCTCGTTTAGCACGTTTGCCTTCATTGCTCTGACCTTTGAGTATAGGAGTTGGGACGTCATGTTGAGGTTGTACAGGACATTGGTGAGGCCTCTTCTGAAGTACCGTGTCCTGTTCTGGTTACCCTATTATAGGAAGGATATTATTAAGCTGGAGAGGGTTCAGAAGAGATTTACCACAATGTTGCCAGGTGTGGAATATAAGGAGTTATAAAGGGAGGCTGGATAGGCTGGCACTTCTTTTCACTGGAGCGTCGGACATTAAGGAGTGACATTATAGAGGTTTGTAAAATAATGAAGAGTATAGATAGGGTGAATGGCAGGTGTCTCTTCCCTAAGGTGGGGGATTTCAAGACTAGGGACATATTTTTAAGGTGAGAAGAGAAAGATTTTAAAAAGTCAGTTTTTTTACACAGAGAGTGGTTCGTGTGTGGAATGAGCGTCCAGTGGAAGTGATGAATGTGGGTACAGTTACAACGCTTAAAAGACATTTAGATAAGTACATGAATAAGAAATGTTTGGAGGGGTATGGGCCAAATGCAGGCAGGTGGGACTAGTTTAGTTTGGGATTATGGTCAGCATGGACTGGTTGGACTGAAAGGTCTGCTTCTGTGCTGTATGACTCTGTGACTCTCCATTTTTGATCAATGATCTTGAGCTTAATTATTCTGAACGTCCTCTTTGTTTCTCCTGGAGAGCGGTGGAGGGTGGTGGCAGACAAATATTTGAAAAGTTAATTTTGAGCCCATGCATTTAAGGTGAGGGGGGATAGTTCAAACCACTGCCAGGGGTGGTGGGGGAGGCAGATACAATAGGGGCATTTAAGAGTCTTTTAGATAAGCACATGAATGTGCAAGGAATGGAGGGATATGGACCAAGAGCAGGCAGTAGTTTAATTTGGCTTCATGTTTGACATGACATCATTGGTCAAAGGGTCCGTTCCTAATTGTTCTATGTTCTGTAGGTGACCCCGCTCTCTCAAACTCCACAGTGCAGAAACTCAGGCTGTGTCAGACCAGAATAAAAACATGACATCTAGGAATGAGGAAAAACTACTACCTTTGCTAATTACAATCAAAACCCTGAGAACAAACGGGAGAATTTACTGATGAGTGGAGAAACAGAATGTGTCAGTGTCAATGCAATTCAAACAATGTAGGTGTGGACCCACTGTACCTGTAAGATCTGCAGAGAGTCATTACTCTTCAGCGTGCTCACCAGCTTCAGACTGGTCTCCCTCAGCAGGGCACATTTCTCCTCCAGTCTCTCCAGAGCACTGTCAGCCTGGTCCAGGGCAAGCTGCTCTTCACTCCCTATGTACTGCAATACTTTAGCCTGCACCTGCTCCAACTCCTTCTTCAGCATCTCAAACTTGTTGCCGTAGTTTGTTTGTGCCCGAGAAGCACAGTCCTGAAATCACAGCAAACAAACCCCACTGACAGAATCTCCCAAAGACCACCGCCCATTCCAAATATTCAACAACATCCCCACCACCCCCAGCCTGCTCCCACTATAGTATGAGCTCCAACTTCAGTGGCAGCACCCTCCCATTCGCATCACACACTCCCTGTGCAGGGCTCAGGGAGTGCTGCAGTGTTGGAGCAGCCATCGCTGAGGTGGGAGGCAGTGATAATGCCATTAGACTGGTAATCCAGACTCCCCAGTTAATATTCTTGGGACATGAGCTCACCAGAGTGGCTCAGTGGTTAGCACTGCTGCCTCACAGTACCAGGGACCTGTGTTCGATTCCACCCTCGGGCGACTGTCTGTGTGGAGTTTGCACATTCTCCCTGTGTCTGCGTGGGTTTCCTCCGGATGCTCCGGTTTCCTCCCACAGTCCAAAGATATGCAGGTTAGGGTGGATTGGCCATGGGAAATGCAAGGATAGGGATCATTCTATGGCAGATGGTGAAATTTGAAATTTAGAATTTAAAAGTAGGCTAGTCTAAACATAGAATCCCTACAGTGTGGATGCAGGCCATTCAGCCCATCGGGTCTACACCAACCCTCTGGAGAGCATCTCACCCAGACCCACCACATCCCGTTACTCTACACGGACAGTTGCCCAAGGGTGGAATCGAACACGGGTCCCTGGCGCTGTGACTGTGTAGAGTTTGCACGTCCTTCCCGTGTCTGCATGGGTTTCCTCCCACAGTCCAAAGGTGTGCAGGCTCGGTGGGTTAGCCATGGGGAATGCAGGGTTAACGGGATGGGGTGGGTCTGGGTGAGATGCTCTTCAGAGGGTCAGTGTAGACCTGATGGGCTGAATGGCCTGCTTCCACACTGTAGGGAGTCTATGTTTAGACTAGCCTACTTTTAAATTCTAAATTTCAAATTTCACCATCTGCCGTAGAATGATCCCTATCCTTGCGTTTCCCATGGCCAATCCACCCTAACCTGCATATCTTTGGACTGTGGGAGGAAACCGGAGCATCCGGAGGAAACCCACACAGACACGGGGAGAATGTGCAAACTCCACACAGACAGTCACCCGAGGGTGGAATTGAACCTGGGTCCCTAGCACTGTGAGGCAGAGGCGCTAACCACTGAGTCACTGAGCCGCCCTAATGATGACCATGTAACCACTGTTGATTGTTATAAAAACCCATCTGGTTCACTAACGTCCTTCAGGGAAGGAAATCTGCCATCCTTACCCGGTCTGGCCTACATGTGACTCCAGACCCACAGTAATTGACCACTGAGCAATTAGTGATGGGCAATAAATGCCAGCCTAACAAACAACACTTACATCCCTTAATGAATTTAAAAAAGAGAATTCCTGCCCTTTTGGTTGGATTCAAGGGATCACGTCGAAGTATTTCAAACAAAAGGAGTGAATTCCATTGTGTGCTGCCCAATATGTATCCCTCACCCATCACCTAAAGATCGTCCCTGTAAACATACACACATCTAAACATGCAAACATGTATACCTCAGGGAGTATATGCACATGTATTTGTGTGCATGCATGTGTATTCATGGTTTATTTGGTAAGTCTTTGATAATGCAGATGATTCATTCATCTCCCAGTGTATACTGACCACGTTCATACACATTCTCACAGGACACCATTGTAACCAATTCTCAGCTCAGAAGACGTGTGGAAATCCCTGTTTAAATTGCACTCCCATAAACTGGGAGGTTATTTATATGAGGTAGTAGGAACTGCAGATGCTGCAGAATTTGAAACAACAAGGTGTAGGGCTGGATGAACACAGCAGGCCAAGCAGCATCATAGGAGCAGGAAAGCTGATGTTTCGGGTCTAGACCATTGTTTTTTTTTCTGAAGAAGGGTCTAGACCCGAAATGTCAGCTTTCCTGCTCCTCTGATGCTGCTTGGCCTGCTGTGTTCATCCAGCTGTACACCTTGTTATCTCAGGCTATTTATATAATGTCAGCTTTTCCCAAACAGTGATTACCTTGGTACAAGCCAAGACCGACCAAATACATATAGCCATTTAAGAAGAAAGGTCTAAAGGAACACATCTTTTAATTCCTGCTTCAGTCGGGCAGCTCGGTGGCACAGTGGTTAGCACTGCTGCCTCATAGCACCAGGGACCTGGGTTCGACCACCCTTGGGCGACTGTCTGTGTGGAGTTTGCACATTCTCCCCGTGTCTGCGTGGGTTTCCTCCGGGTGCTCTGGTTTCCTCCCACAGTCAAAGATATGCAGGTTAGGGTGGATTGGCCATGGGAAATTGCCCATAGTGTCTAGGGATGTGTAGGTTAGGTGGGTTGGACATGGGGAAATGCAGGGGCAGGAGAATGGGTCTGGGTGGGATGCTCTTCGGAGGGCTGGTGTGGACTTGTTGGCTGAATGGCCTGTTTCCTCACTGTCGGGACTCGATGTAAAAAAAAAGTCACTGGTCTGTCAAGCAACGTACCTTGGTGCTTCAGAAACTAATCTGACCCAATATGAAGAAAGGAAAATCTGTGTGACCCAGGGATATCAAGCCAGCAATTCCTAGTTTTTAAAATATGTCTCTTACTCTAGTCTCTCCGGTGGGGGGAAACATCATTTCAGAATCCACCCTATCAAATCATAGAATCAGACAGCACAGAAACAGACCCTTCGGTCCAACTCATTCATGCCGACCAGATTATCCTAAACTAATTTAGTCCCATTTACCAGCATTTGCCCCATATGCCTCTAAACCCTTCCTATTCATGTCCCCATCCAGATACCTTTTAAATGCTGTAATTGTACCAGCCTCCACCACTTCCTCTGGCAGCTCATTCCATACACGCATCACCCTCTGTGTGAAAAAGTTATCCCTTTTAGCCCCTTTTAAATCTTTCCCCTCTCACCTTAAACCCTCTAGTTTTGAACTCCCCTACCCTGGGGAAAAGACCTTGGCTATTCACCCTATGCATGTCCCTCATGATTTTATAAACCTCTATAAGGTCACCCTTCAGCCTCCGACACTCCAGGGAAAATAGCTCCAGCCTATTTAGCCTCTTCCTATAGCTCAAACCCTCCAATCCCAACAACATCCTTGTAAATCTTTTCTGACCCTGTCACATTTCACAAGTCCTTTCAAGATCTTATATGTCTCAATTAAGATCCCCTCTCATTCTTCTCAGTCCCAGCCTGTCTAACCTTTCCTCATAATCCCAGATATCAGAAATGGTCATTACCTTAACAGAAATCTTCTGCTGTTTGAGGGTATCGATTAACTCTTCTGTCTTCTTTACTTGTTGCATCACCTCCTCGTGCTTTGCTATGAGTTCCTTCTAAAAGATTGAATTAAAAAGTAAATCAATTAATCATTTCTAACCTTGGCTCCTTGGTAGTTGGATAGTGTCAAGGTTTCAGCACCTTGTCTGCACTGATGTTCCAGTGTAGCCCAAAGAAAGAGTAGGGCTGACCAGAGGTTAACCTGAGCCCTGTCTGCACTATCAGCTGGGCATTAAAGATCCTATGGCTGTATTTGAGGAACAGCAGGGGAACACTCCCTATCCTCCTGGCCAATATTTATCCCACAACCGGTATTGCTAAAATACATTTTCTGGTCATTATCATTTTGGTGATGGTGGCATGTTGATGGGTGGCACTTGTCTGCTGTATTTGCTATGTTACAAAATCCTACAACTCCCTCCCAGCAACACTGTGGGTGTAACTATCCTGCGTGAACTGTGGTCGTTCAGGAAGGCAGCTCACCACCACCTTCTCCAGGGGCAATAAATGCTGGCAAAGTCAGCAACACCCATTCTCTGTGAACAATAAAAAAATTAAAGTTACAACTTTGACTACCAATAGTTTTCATTGTGAAGTTCCTCGGGACAACCCAGGGTTGTGAAAGGTGTTATATAAATGCAAACTCCTTAGTAGACATACGACGACGAATTGCGGTTATTGCAAGCATCATAAACTATTGTGTTTTGGACAGGGCTCCCCACTATTTTCCATCTCCTTTGCTGGCAGCTGGCCCTGAAGTTGAACACACAACATACGTTGTACATACATCACCGTGTCAACATGAGTATCATATTAAAATATCCACAGGTCATCATCACCAGCACGGTGGCTCAGTGGTTAGCACTGCCCCACAGCGCCAGGGACTCAGGTTCGATTCCACCCTCAGGCGACTGTCTGCGTTGAGTTTGCACATTCTCCCTGTGTCTGCGTGGGTTTCCTCCGGGTGCTCCGGTTTCCTCCCACAGTCCAAAGATGTGCAGGTTAGGTGGATTGGCCATGCTAAATTGCCCGTAGTGTTCAGGGATATGTAGATTAGGTGGGTTATAGGGAGAATGGGTCTGGGTGGGATGCCCTGAGGGTCGGTGTGGACTTGTTGGGCCAAAGGGCCTGTTTCCATACTGTAGGGGATTCTATGATTACACTACCTGCTACAATTCCCAATAACTCCAGTAGGGAATGCTTTATTTGGAATTCCCAGCTAAGGTAATGTTTGATAAGAACTGTGGATGCTGTAAATCAGGAACAAAAACAAAGTGGCTGGAAAAGCTCAGCTGGTCTGGCAGCATCTGTGAAGGAAAAAAACAGTTAATGTTTCGGGTCCGGTGACCCTTCCTCAGAACTGGTAATGTTTGAGTTGTAATCTTTCCCTGTCATACTATGTGACTGTTGATCCTATGAGGCCCTTTGCAGAACTCCTGATAGACAGTGAGAGATACTAGGGGAAATTAAGGGATATGGCAGCAAAAGTGGACAAGAGAAAGGCATTGCAGAAGACAGAGAAGAAGGAGAGGAGACTGGGGAAGAAAAGGACAGAAAGATCATAACATCAGAATGAGGGATGTTATGATTAGGATAAGACTGGGCTCAGTATGAGCAATGTCAGAGAAGATTCATTACTGTACAAGAAATATCTTCCTGTACATTTGCACTATCCTAGTGTGCAGGCCCATCACTCTCTCTACACCTGACCACACCATCAGATATCCAAAGCCCATGCTTTGGAATTCCATGGAAAAATCAACTACCTTTCCACAGTTTTCTGTGAAGACTTTCCTAAAACAACTGTCTCATTCGTTCCTTTTTGCCACCCTCTTAGTATCTCCTCCTTAGGTCGTGTCTCCATTTACACCTTTGTGAAATACCATGGGACATTTTACTATGTTAACATGATTAATTCATCCAAGGTCTCACTGCTCCTTTTATTCACCCATGGGGTGTGGGCATCACTAGCTAGACCAGCATTTATTGCCTGTCCCTAGTTGTCCTTGAAAAGGTGGGAGTGAGCTGTCTTCTTAAACCACTGCTATCCATTTTCCAGCTCCCTTCAGTTCTGAAGAAAAGTCATACCAGACCTGAAATGTTAATCTATATCTCTCTCCAGAGACAATATCTCTCTCCAGAGTTTCTCCACCACTTTCTCTTTTTGTCCCAAATTTGCAGTGCTTTGCAATTATTTAAATAGGGAAGACATTTTGGCAAATGTGGAACTTTTGAAGTGATACAAGAATATGAAAGAAATTGTGTTTAATCTTTATGAAGTATTGGCCTGGCTTCAATTGGAGTATTTTGTTGTAGTGCTCAGAATACACTGGGGTGAAAGGTAAAAATGACCCAAACAAATCTGGTGTATATTAATGACGGGGATGATGAATCAGAGTAAACAGCCCCACCATGCACCCCAATTCCTACATTGTCCCCCTTCCCCTACCGCCTGAGAGACAGAATTCATGAAGAACTCTCCTTCAATCACAGGTTGCATCTCTTTTCTACTCCCCCAATCCCAGACTGTTTCTGACCCATATTTGCTGATGGAACAGGAGCAGTGGGCCATTCAGCCCCTCAGCTAATCCCCTGTTATTTTAACAATGCTGATATTTAAACTCTGGCTAGGACACAGGGCTAGATGCCCCCTGCCTTTTGAGCAAATGGTGCCAAAACATGGGATCATTTCTTACCAAGAGGACAGATAGTCCTTGATGTAACCTCTCATCCAAACAGGTCAAAGTGATGGGATTGGACCCTCATCCTGAGCCCTGATAGTAGTCAGTGTGGCTGAAAGGCCATGAATCCACAATTTTGCCGATCTGAGGGGGGGCATGTTTGTGGTGGCATGGAGGGCGGGGACACTGCTTTCCAACAGGAAGATCTGTCCCTGCCCAAGGCTATGCCACCAAGTGAAACACTGTCAGGAGTGAGGAGGGGCAGAGGGGTGTCACAATAGGCCGAATAAGGCAATAAGGTGTCGGAGCAGAAGTAGGCCATTCAGCCCCATCAAGTCTGCTCTGCTATTCAATGATTAAAAATCTATCTCAGCCCTGAACGTACTTTATAACCAAGTCTTGCAGCCTGTGGGAGAGGGGGTGAGTTGGGATGTTGGTATTGGGAGAGGCAGAGTGTTGGGGAGGGGTTGGTATTGGCAGAGGAGGGAGTTGGGAGGGGGTGGTATTGGGATGGGCGCTGTTGGGGAGGGAGTGGTATTAGTAGAGGGAGGTGTTGGGGAGGGGTTGGTATTGGGAGAGGGAGG